CTTCCCCCTTTGTTGTGGTTTTTGTTTCTTTTTCTGCTTTTTCTCCAAGCTTTTCAGTGCAAACAAGGAGCTCTTCCCCCTTTGTTGTGATTTTTGGGGTTATTTTGTGGGTTTTCTCCAATCTTTTCAGTGCAAAAAAGGAGCTCTTCACCCTTTGTTGTGGTTTTTGTTTCTTTTTCTGCTTTTTTTCCAAGCTTTTCAGTACAAAAAAGGAGCTCTTCCCCCTTTGTTGTGATTTTTGGGGTTATTTTTGGTTTTTTTTCCAAGCTTTTCAGTGCAAAACAGGAGCTCTTCCCCCTTTGTTGTGGTTTTTGTTTCTTTTTCTGCTTTTTCTCCAATCTTTTCAGTGCAAAACAGGAGCTCTTCACCCTTTGTTGTGATTTTTGGGGTTATTTTTGGGTTTTTCTCCAAGCTTTTAAGTGCAAAAAAGGAGCTCTTCCCCCTTTGTTGTGGTTTTTGGGGTTATTTTTGGGTTTTTTTCCAAGCTTTTCAGTGCAAACAAGGAGCTCTTCCCCCTTTGTTGTGGTTTTTCTTTCTTTTTTGGGTTTTTCTCCAAGCTTTTCAGTGCAAACAAGGAGCTCTTCACCCTTTGTTGTGATTTTCGGGGTTATTTTTGGGTTTTTCTCCAAACTTTTCAGTGCAAAACAGGAGCTCTTCACCCCTCGCCGCTTGGTCGCCTCTCACCACCTCATGCTCGAAAATTTGCCTTTTTATGCCAGCAGCTCCGTGGATCGGAGTCACCGTGACCAGCAGCTTTGGCGCAGTAGTAGGTGGCGGTGTCCTCAGCCCTGAGGTTGTTCAGCTGCAGCCTCACTGTGCTCTGCCCGTTGTCCCTGGAGATGGTGGCACGGCCCTTCACCGCCGGCGCGTAGGTTGTGCCACTACCAGCGCTGCCAATACCTGCGACCCATTCCAGCCCCTTGCCGGGTGCCTGTCGCACCCATTCCATGCCAAAACTGCTGAAGGTGAATCCGGAGGCCTTGCAGACGAGGCTGATCCCTCCTCCGGGTGTCTGGAGGCCGCCCCCAGACTCGTCCAACGTCACGGCCGCCATCAGCCCTGTGGGGAAGGAAGGACAGACAGCGCTGACGGAGCCGCCGACACACGGCCACGCGGAGACGGGCGCCATTGAGACCCCCATTGACCCCCATTGACCCCCATTCACCCCCATAGACACCCATAGACCCCCATTGACACCCATTGACCCCCATTGAGACCCCATAGAGTCCCATAGAGACCCCATAGAGCCCCATAGGGACCCCATAGAGCCCCATAGAGCCCCCATAGAGACCCACAGCGCCCTCACCTGGCAGGGCGGCCAGGAGCAGGAGGGAGGAGACGCTTGGGCTCATGGTTGCGGAGCCGACTGCTGCTCCTCCGTCGGAGAGCCGGCGTTTTTATGGCCGTCAGAAGGGTTCATTTGCATAAAGAGGGGGAGGGGGGGGGAAGCTCGGCTTCGTTAGCGCGTTAATTGCCGGCTGGCATCTCGCCTTCGTTACGCTGGGAGTCGTTACAGCTTAATGAGTTTGTTTGGTTTGTTGTTTACGGCGACGCGCGGAACCGTGCAGGGCTTTTAATTGAGGTTTCTCGTCAGCCTGGCTTAATTATTTAATGATTTGATGATTAATTAGGCGTCTGCCGGGTCGATTAATGATTTCGTTGCGATCTAGGCCCGAAATCGTGTTTCCTCATTAATTTGTTCCACTCTAATTATCGTTATCCACTCTGCACTGAATTCTTTGATCCCAGCGTTGACATCCCAACCTCCTCCCCCATCAGGCCTTAATGAAGCATGCCTAATTAACGATTTTACTTCGTTAATGCAATTAAGTAGCCTAACTAAGTCATTTCTACGTGAGTCCTTCCTCTGCAGCAATCCCAATCAGGAATTAATTGGTTGCAATTAATTATTTAACCTCCACTTTGTGCTTCTTGCTGAAGTTACGTCCCTGTAGCCCCCAGTGTGTGTTAATTGGCTTAATTAATTGGTGACTAATTAGTTATTATTTCCAATTAGCCATCAACTCGTCATTCCTCACTGAGTTATACCATTCTCAGCCCCGCCATCTGTTAATTAGCTCTAATTAATCATTTAATATCAATTTAGCCATGAACTCACCCTGTCTCTATATTGAGTTATACCATTGCCAACCTCACCATTTATTAATTAGCTCTAATTAATCAATTAATTTCTATTCAGCCGTGAACACTCTGTGTTTCTTCACCGGGTTATACCATTGCCACCCCCACCATCGATTAATTAGCTCTAATTAATCATTTAATTTCAGTTTGGTCATGAAAACTCTGTGTTTCTTCCTTGATTTATTCCATTCTCACCCCCCGTCATTCATTAATTAGCTGTAATTAATGATTTAATTCCAATTTAGCCATGAATTCCTTGTGTTCCTTCATTGAGTTTTACCACTGCCAACCTCCCAATCCGTTAATCAGCTCTAATTAATCATTTAATTACAATTTAGCCACAAATTCTTTGTGCTTCTTCATCAAGTTATTCCATTCTTGTTCCCATCATCCATTAATTAGTCGTAATTAATGATTAAATCTCAATTTAGCCACGAACTCATTACGTTTCCTCACTGAGTTGTGCTATCATTAACCCCACCATTCATTAATTAGCCCTAATAAATCATTTAATTGCAATTTAGGCAAAATTAATTGCGTTCCTTCATTGAGCTATTAGCATTTCCAGTCTCCGGCCCATTAATTAGCTGTAATTAATAGCTTAATTACAATTTAGAGATGAACTTGTGCTTCTTCACTGAGTCGTAATCCCCACCGTGCATTAATTGGGTGTCGTTAATTGCTTAATTGACATTTTGACACTGAGCTCTCATTACTTACTGAATGATTCCCACCGCACTCCCAATCACGCATTAATTAGGCGCGTGGAATTAATTAATACCAATTTCTTCTGCACAAACATTAATTAGGGACGATGAATCTTTTAATTAAGTGTGATCTTCTCCCAATTAAACCACTAATTAGCGACAATGAAGCTTTTAATTGTGATTATCTCGTAATTAATCCATTTATTAGGGACTATGAATCATCTTCTTTCAATTAAATCATTAATTAGGGGCTTCTAATTACACTACGCTCCACACAACCATTAATTAGGGATAATGAAGCCGTTAATTAATCGCAATCTCCCCCTATTTAAATCATTAATTAAGGATAATGAAGGATTCAATCACAATCTCCTCACAATTAAATCCCCAATTAGGAACAACAAATTATTTAATTGTGATCTTCTCCCAATTAACTCATTAATTAGGGATAATGAAGCATTTAATTACAGTCTCCTCTCAGTCAAACCATTAATTAGGGATAATGAAGCCTTTAATTACAGTCTTCTCTCACTCAAACCATTAATTAGGGATAATGAAGCCTTTAATTACAGTCTCCTCTCACTCAAACCACTAATTAGGGATAATGAAGCACTTAATTACAGTCTTCTCCCAGTCAAACCATTAATTAGGGATAATGAAGCCTTTAATTACAGTCTGCTCCCAGTCAAACCTTTAATTAGGGATAATGAAGCCTTTAATTACAGTCTTCTCTCACTCAAACCATTAATTAGGGATAATGAAGCCATTAATTAGGGATAATGAAGCCTTTAATTACAGTCTTCTCTCAATCAAACCATTAGTTAGGGATAATGAAGCCTTTAATTACAGTCTCCTCTCAATCAAATCATTAATTCGCAATTCCCTAATTAGAAATCTCTTAATTACACACCCTTCCCCCCAACCATTAATTAACAGCCTTCCACCATTCCACCGCGACCCTTTTCCCCCTCTCACCCGTTAATTAAATCAATTAACCCAACTTAATTAACCCC